AATCTCATCATAACCACTCCTAGAACTTCTCGTATTTACTTTTTACCTAAAATTCACAAACCTAACAACCCGGGTCGGCCCATTGTCTCGGCTTGCAGTTGCCCTACCGAACTTATCTCCAGCTATCTAGACAAAATTATGGCTCCCATCGTCAAAACTTTACCATCATATATTAAAGACAGCCAACACGCTCTTCAAATTTTTCGAGACTTTAATTTCCTTGGCCAAAACAAACTTCTTTTCACCATGGACATTACGTCTCTTTACGTGGAAAGGAATGACAAGGACACATCGAAACCAGTCGCTAGACATTTTAATTTACCTAATCATTCTAAGCAACATATGGCAATCTGCGGTCTTTCCTTACACTTAGGTAGCACGGAAAGCCGTAAAAATCTTGAACAAAAGCTCATCTTTCAAACCGGCAGTCTAAATCCCACAGGGATCAACGAACGCTTTTCATTCCACTAATTTATTCTTGTTTTTCTCGTTGCCATGTTCCCACCAATAACGTAGCTCCATTTTCTGCCTTTAAAAGCACACACAACCCACAATTCCTCTATTCGCTCCGACGAAGGGCTAACGCTCGAAACGTCAGCTTTTGTAATCGTTACGGTGGCCAATTTACCACTTCAACTTTGTTGATATATCCAAATTATTTCGTTACTCCCACCGACGCAGCCCCAAACAGTTTGTTTCGAAACTATCAGCCTTTATCTATTTATCTATCTATCGATCTATCCATCTATCTTTTTATCTATTTATCTATGTAGTGATCCATCCATCTATTTATCCATCTATTTATCCATCCATTTATTTATCCATCCATCTTTTTATCTGGTTATGTACTTATCTATTTATCTATCTATTTAGCCTTTTTTTCTAAGTATTTATCTACTTATGTATCTTTCAATTTATCTGTGTATCTATTTATCTATGTATCATTCTATTCATCAATCTATCTATTTATATACATTTCTATTTATATATCTAATATTCTAACATCTGGCTTTCTATTTATTTATCTATATATATCCTTTTATTTATCTTTTTATCTATCTTTTTTTCTATCCATCTAACATTGTATCTATTTATATATCATCTATTTATCTATCAATCTACTGATCAATTTATTTATCTATCTATCTATCTATCTATCTATCTGTACATCTATCTATCAAATCATTTCTGTTTCTGTGTATCTATTTATCTATCTATCCATCTGCAAAGTAATAACTTCAAGAGAAGCAATCTGATTTTATGGTGTGCATGTATCATTCAAAGGCTGCAGCATCTCTGAAGGATTTGGAATTCCAATTATTGCTATGCATAAGAAGTTTTCCTTTATGGGTTTGTAGGTCTGACACGAGACTCAAGACTGCTGTGGAAACTTGATCCTGTTCAGAAAAGTCTTAAAAATTTTGTTTTAACTATTACGATTTTCCAATTGCCTATGTCATTTAACTGGATTTTGACTGTTAATGTTGCCAAATCATACAGATACCTTACTACTTAATAGTTGCTGGCATAACCTCACTTGAAATAGGATTCTGTGGTTGAGATAATTTGTAAGTTCTTTTTTAGCAGGTAGAATATCTAAATCAGCTTGATCCTTCAACGATCCTGGGATAGTTCTGACATTGATTATATTGGTGTATTAGTCAGCAACATTTCCGTGATTATTCACACACACCGTGTGATTATCAATCTTTATAGTTCACCACTAAATTTTCTTCGGTTCTTATTGGTTTAAATCGATCACGTGACGCGATAGTTTTCATCCATGGAGAGACGCTATCAGCCCATAGTGCCCGTCCGTGGAAATACCTGCATTGATAGTACTCATCCGTGAAAAGTTTTGAATAGTTTGACGGCCGCGAAGTTAGGCAGATCGGAAAAACAGTGACTTTTCAATTCTGACAGGTATAACGTATTATTTAGCCAATGTACGGTTGGGAATTATTGACATTTGGGACAAGCTGTAGGCGCAGAAGAAAATTTAGTGGTGAACAATAAAAACAATAGAGTGTTTATGTCTCGGAACTATCAGTCTGATAGTTGCCCCTTGTAAATTTGATGTTCTTAAAACTAGCATATTTGCTTTAAGAACATCAAATTTCCGCGGGGCAACTATCAGCCGATAGTTCCTCGACAGAAACACTCTATTGTTTAATTAGAGTTTTTTTTTTTTTACCATAATCTTGTCAAATAAGAATACATCGTAGTAGTGTTGTATTTCAAGAGATGATTATATACTACCAACACACACTTTTATACATTTTTTGTGGTAGTTTCCATGAAGCCGTTCGCGTGCATAACGTGCGCCCGATAATATTGTAACCGTTGCAGGAATAAATGAGTTAAAATCATCTTTTTGCGCCATATTATCTCACTTTTTGGTATATGCTAAAACAGCTATTCATCTCTGTGTTACAGGCTAGCGGTGAATATTTACCAAGCCGCTTTGCGTCTTGGTGAATATCCCCCACTAGCAACCTCCATTTCGTTTAGTGGTTTTGGTCGTTTTGAAATAACCGAGACAGTTTGTCTTTCTCTATTGGAAACATCTGTCTTGTACCAATAACTGAGAGAAAACCCTGAGGTAGAGCTTTATTGAACTCCTTGGCATAGTAACAGTTTTTTGACACCACATTCATTCTTCCCGGGTTGCCTTTATAATGCAACTTCTACGTTTTTCTGTACAAGTCAGAGATGTATGAGTTCATGAAACAAGGATATGTTAGTCTAAAGAGTCGGTTCCAAAATAGCCTATTTTGTATATTCTTTTTAAGTTTTCCCACAGTATTTTTACTCTAAAACATGATCCTAGTAATTTTTAATAATAATAATATATTGATTTCTATAACGCATTTCCATGGAATGCTCTAATGCGCTTTACAACACTGTGCGGGGTACTTTTCCAGACTGCCGGCGGCAGTTTACAATTAATGAGGAAGAAATTTTACAGATGCCCCCTCCCCCCATTCCCAGTAACCAGGCCAGACCACATCACACTAATCTCGTGATGTGGGTTCTTTAACGTCCCCTGCCGAAATTAACTAATTGATAGATGCAGGAGACTGGACTACTCACGCCTTCCCCTTCCTTTCCCTTCCCTTATGTTTATTGTGACTCTCAGGTGAAGACCAGGAGCATGCCAACTTTTATGCAAGCCAGCAGCCGTCTACAATTGGCTCTCGCAGACCACAGTGTAACACTAATTTGTTCTTTTTCACACAGTGTTTTGACTTTGGAACGTAATCTTAGCAATTTTCTCCTTGTTTAACTCTCAGGTGATGACCAGGACCTTGTAACCCAGCAGCCATCTACAAGTGGATCTGGCAGACCACAGTGTAAGACTAATGATCAGTCAGTGTTGATGATTATCACCATTCATAAAATGTTCATTCCTACGTGCGCTCTCATCGGTTGATTGGTGTGTTTAACGAGAGTTTGTAAACACCGTTCTGCAATTATTCTAAGTGCAATTATTAAGGCAATGGAGAAAAATTCGCCTATTCTGGTTTGAGCCCTAGGAAAAAGAACTAATCTAAGGAAGAAAGTCAGCGCTTTGCATGTAGCCTGCAGGAGAAGCGTAAATTTCTGCGTTTTGCAGGCGTTTAATTAAGCGTTAGGTGAGCACATATGCAAGCTCTTTACGGACATTAACTCAAAAGGCAATTCATTTCTCTCTCAGTATTTCTACGCCTGTAAACTCGAAAAAGTTGAGGTCCGGCCTTTTTTAGAGTTGTTTTTACACCCCAAGTCACTCCGATCTGCTTTCCGGCAAAATGAGCACGTATTCCCCTCAGCCTCGACTTGGCACTAGGCGCTTATAACTAGTCACCAGACTTTCTCGCACGAACAGTTCTAAACTATCGTCTAGTGTGTGTGTTTAGGAAGTCTATACCAGTCAATGAGCAAAGATATTTTCCTTCATTTGTCATGTGAAATATATCTTATAAAAACAATCCAAGACTGGCCCCATGTTTGCATAGCTTGGTCAAATCCTCTCAACCATCTAGATGAGGCTGTGAAAACGCAAAAAACTTCCTCTGTTGCTCTTCTTTTGACAGGCCGGTACCCTTACTTTCTTTGCTTTCCACTTAAATTTTTAAGTTTACCATTACTTCCTGAGACTTTGGATTGTTTGCAAAACGCCAGATTTTTTATGATCGTTGAATTCTTATGCTGACTCAACCTATGACGTGAACTCAGTATAGTTAGGACTTTATGCTTTTGTATTGAATAAAATAGCGAATTGAGGAAGTATCGTAAATCGCTTTACTTTATTTTCTGTCTTAATCAACTAATTGTAGACTAATCGTTGTCCTTTATTTATGCTTCTCGTTCAAAACAAGTTTGTCTTTGTAGTCAAACAAGGAACACCTAGTGATGATGAACTGGAACATCTTGCCGTAAAGCTTGGTGGTGCTTGGAAAAAGCTTGGGCGCCGCTTGGGAATCAAAGATCCAAAGCTTGAAGAAATTTGCCAATCAAACGAGGCACTCTCTGAAAAGGGATATCAAATGCTCAGGCATTGGAAAGGAGTAAACGGTTCAGCCGCAACTTACCAGATTTTGGGTCAAGCTTTACAGACTAAGCTTGTGAATCTGCGAAATTTAGCAGAAGAATTTTGCTATGAGAAACAACAACTGGAAATGTGACCCTAGAGTGATGCATAGATTGCATATTTTTCTATGTAAAATCTATAATGGTAAACTAGATACTGCCATAACAAAGGAAGTATAATCTTGGTATTTTAAGGAAAGGCTATTGTTTCCTTTTTGTAGATTTTCATCTTATTTTTGATGATTGTTGAATTCTTATGCTGACTCAACCTATGACGTGAACTCAGTATAGATAGGACTTTATGCTTGAAACTCTCAGTTTGTTAGAGGAATTTTCCCACCTTGAAATCGCCGAAGAGTTAAGTAATTTTCTCCGGAAGTGATCAGCTAATTTTGTAAAATTTGCGCTTAGTTGTTTCTCTCATTATGCATCAATATAACTTCTAGACGCTCGTAGCTGTCAATTGATTTGATCTATAGAACCCAGAGCTACAAAATTATTTATGTGAGGGCTGTTTTCGAATAAGTTCTACTATTTTGAGTGGCGAATTTTGTTCAACGCCCAGAGAGCTGGATGTATCATAGATTTTAGACGGTTTATACACCCACTAAAACGGGAATGGTTCTTAGCGACTCCTAAGGAGTGATATCATTTGTAACGATTGTATTTTTTAAAAGTGAACGTTGTGTAAGGTTTCACTCTGAAAAAAGTTTATGAATAGTTAAATAGATCCATGTTTTTAAATATTAATTTGAGATAGTTAATCAATTGACAATAACATGTAACCACAGACTGTTTTTTAAGAAAACACCATCTTTTTATCATTATCACACAAAACTTTTCTATCGTACTTGTAAGTTTGGATGTAGTCTAATCTGTTCACAGTTCATTTTAAAATACAGCGGTTATACAGAACACACGTTGGTGAGTCCATTTATGTGTTTGTGGCTGTACGTGGAATCTGTCTTTCTCTTGAATCTGACATTTGAACTCTTGGTTCAGGCGTCAATACGTTAACGGAATATTTTTCTCAGATACGTTTAGCGAGAAGTACAGTTTTCCTTAATGATTTTAAGAGAAGGGGCGTCGCAGGACTTTGTCAAGAGGTGTAACTTCGAAAGATTTCAAAACAAACCTGTAGACCTCTTTACAGCCAGTGTGGCATTTAAAGGCTTTTCTTTCTTTTAAGGCTCGATTAAAATAACTGCCGCGAGCAGGGAAACTTCGCGTGGAGGTCTGGAAGACCTAATTTATAAGCCCAGTACCCTCGCAGTTTATCGTTCACTCCCCTGTTAAAAAAAAAAAAAAGAAAGAAAGAAAAAAAATACACTATCGGATTGACAGCAGGAAGAATATTTTGCTTTAGACATTATTGTAGAGAAATGAGTTTCATGATTTGGGATTATAGTGCCAGTTGCACACATGCAAACAGGAAAGGATAAACGGGTTCCTTTTTCGCCCAAGCCTGAATTTTCTTTGCTTTTTTTCAGCAATTGCTTTAATATTTTCATCCGCAGGTCAAATGAAATTTATTTCAATTAGAATTGAGAAATATTCAAGAGTAGTCCATGTTTTAAAAAACTAAAAACAGAGACTTTCAAAGACACGAAAAACAAAACCAAAAAAAAACCTACTCTTACCTTTAGTTAAGACGCCGGAAATCACCTTTCTGAGCCTGAATATTTGAATTTTCCGAAGGGCATGCTGCACTGACCCCCTAATTAAGACGTTCTCCTTTCGGTAAACATATTTTGTGAACGCCCTCACCAAATACTGTACTATACCCCCCAATACACACACATTGTCTGTAGTTTTCCCAGATTTTATTTAGTGTAACTCATGAAAATGATTGTAAGGGTGCCGGTGTAACGTTTTAAATCTCAGTTTCAACCAGGTACCACTTTGGAGAGTGTTCATTCATATCCAGGGGCATATGTTCCAAAAATTTATCGCTTTTGTTGTTTTGTTTTGTTTTGTTTTGTTTTGTTTTGTTTCTCTTCAAATAAATGGCGCTGGGTCTTATGGGATCGATGTGGTAAAAATAATACCCCATTGTTCTCCTACCGGGATTTATCATCGCGTACTTTTTGCTTTTGGGCAAGGTAGGTAGATAACAACAATATCCAAACATATCCACGATAAGCATGCCATTTATTTGCCGTCTCTACTGAAGAGTTCAGAAAAATCGGATATGACACCAAACTGAATTTAACTCTCACGAAAGAAACTTCCAATGTGGCTATGATTGAAATGAGGTAAGTAAATTGTCTTAAGTTGACAGCTGACATGTAATGGTCTGTAAGTCAGGTGATCAGCAACCCTCCCTGCATACCCCAACAGGCAATCATCTTTGCAGGCAGTCACATAAACATCTTTTTACATACTTGCTTAACCCTTTATTGTAATTACACCCTGAAATCAGTGTGCATATTATCCATACTGTTCCCTAAGGTAGTGACAAGGAGATTTTGTTTAACAATCAAGAGCTTCTTTAGTTGGTTATCATTTCCTTTATTCTCCTGACCTTAATGTGTGATTTAGGGGTGATATTGTAAGGAGAAGTTATATGCTACCTAAAATAAAAAAGGGTCAGAGGGTTAATATTCTGTTATGTTTCTGACAGTGTGAAGATCTTATCTGAATTAATATCTTTACTCTGCAGTTCAAAGTATTATTGATTTCTCTAGATAAGCTAAGCATCCTTACGAGGAAATTTTGGAAAGTTATGAGTGTTTATAGAGTTTACTAGGCACTAATCTCTTACAAAATACACATTGCTCAGAATCAAAATAGAGGATCATTCACTTCATGTGGATTTTTTTTGTTTAAAAATGCTACATTCTTATGCAAGGTTCAGTATATTTTACGAGTTCGTTTTATAGAGTATTTTATTTTGTTCACTGGATTGTTGTTTATCCATCATCACAATGCTTTAAACTCCAGGGTTAGCAAAAAGGTAAAACCTCATATTTAATAAGTACCAGCCAAATTTTGAGGGAACAAAATGGTTTTCTTCATACAGAGTAGTCTGTACTGTTCTTGTCGCGATTTGAGGCCGTTTTGCTGTGTTTCAGCTTAACGTCCTAGCACTACCAAATAAAAGCCTCTTTTATTTGGTAGTGCTAGTACAATCCTGTAAAAAGCAAGGTGGAGGGCTTGAGCCCAGGACCACCAGATTACAAGCCCAGCATCTTAACCACTTGGCCACCCTGCCTCCTCTGGCATGGCAGAACAAAAGCCCTTGGCTCCCCCCCCCAAAAAAAAAATTATTGGTAATAAATGATTTTTAAATTTTCATCGAGTTACAATAAAACATCAATCAATTCAAGCTTCAATATCCACCGCCCCTTCCCAGGCCAATCTCACAATCTCACTATTTACCTTAAAACACCTCCCATTCTAAAGATATATCACTTGTATTCCACTAAAACGACTTGATGCTTCCAGCTAGTTCAAGTACCCCACCCCCGGCAGCAGGCAAGGTTCATATTTCCCAACCCTCAGGCACAAGCAATGGTTGAATGCCTGTGGGTTACTGGGGGGGGGGGGATGTTGAAGTTTTGAATTGATTGGTGCAGAAGTAACAAGTAAGCTAGTAATCTTTAGCAC